TCAGAATTTGACTGTATTTTTTATTCCTAAGAACGGTCGTAAGTATTTCCATACGAACTCTTGTAATGTTTCTCCAGATGATCACAGCGCGCTCCGATGTTTACACGTAATAAGATGACCAAGCTTGAACTTACCCCTTCACGTTGTAATGCATATCGATAACTTCATCTTGAGGAAACCTCTTTGAAAAAACTTTTCAGACGGTCCATTGCGTTGATCTGGAAAAAAAAGACTGCTACACAAACACTACGAGAAATGCAATTGGAATGGAACCATTCCGTTCGAGGTACGAAAAAAACCGCCACTTCTTCGTAAATCACGTGTACTTTCACGTGGTGACCTTAGGTCATCGCAACCATCATAGGTCAGCGGTCACATAGTGACCTCACAGGTTATCGTGTTCGACATCACGAAATGACTCCAAAGAGGTCTCGTTGCTGCGTCTGTAATCTTACAAAATAAAGCAGCACAAAAAGCTGTTCGGTATTTGGAATTCGAAGCAAGTAACAATCGACAGGACATCAGAGTCCGAGAAAGTCAGAGCTGACATCGACAGTGATTCCTGTGAAAGCGATCACGAAATCAACATCGATGTTGAAGAAGGCGATCTCAATGAATACATGAAGTAACGTTTCATCCCGACTGAGAAGATGGCCTGACTCTGTTAACCGGCGACTCTATGAACGAGGTAAAAATAGCATTTTTTTTCAGGTTACATTTGCACACTATTCAAAGTTCCAAATTGAGGTGACAAAGTGATTGATTTTTCATTGTTTTGTTCCACATTTCGTGTAGATGCAATGCGTACTATTGCTGTGCAACTTAAGCATCTGTACTCTGCAGGTGCCGTACTGGAAAAGCCCTAGAAGATTCCTCAGCCGTAAGAATGTAAGAAGGCCTTGAACAGGTTTCCAGAGTCATGGCTAACAGTCAAAGCCAGCAGTGAGGCAGAAAAAATTCAACAAAGTCGTCCAGGCATGGCGAAGGCAAAAAGGCCCCAAAAAAACCAAAGTGAGGATCAAACATCTGGGTCATTGCCTCCAGCCCCATTTGTCTCAACAAAGGAGCAAATTGAAGATCCATTGTTTTTAGTCATTGTTTTGTGATTTCCTGTACATTTTACGTTAACAAAGGCCACTTAAGATGTTTAGGGACATTTTCATTCGACAGTTTTCGCGCTGTACACCAAAATTCCATCAGTGGATAAATTTATAACAAGTCAGTTCCACGGATCATGAAAGTCAGCTCGTTGGTAAATCAGTGACTGTGATGAACTCATTAATACCACTTTTAATGGCCTATGGATTCATCAATGAAATTCATCAGCAACAGATTTCAGGGAATATTCATGGCCCATTAATTTTGTTCTCCCAAAACAA